GTACGGCTGAACGCTCACCGGCCTCTGCGCCGAGGCACCGTTTGGTCTGATGAAGAATGCTGGGGGGAGGGTGGAAGTTTTTGTTGTTATGACGGGGGTGAGAAATAAGACTGAAGCACGACAAAAGTGTTTCGCTACAACATTGCCACCTCGTGCTCTCCCCATTACTCGACAACGCCTTCCTGATCCGGAGCGCAGCAGGACCTGACGCCACCCGCCCCACGGCCGAGCAGCTCACGCCTACACGCCGCGGAGCGGGGTCGGTGACACGGGCGGCGCCCCCGGGAGAGGCGGCCGGGCGTACCGCGAGAAGGCGAGTGCTGCGCTGAGCCCGGCCGCCTCTCCCGGGGGCGCCGCCCGTGTCACCGACCCCGCTCCGCGGCGTGTAGGCGTGAGCTGCTCGGCCGTGGGGCGGGTGGCGTCAGGTCCTGCTGCGCTCCGGATCAGGAAGGCGTTGTCGAGTAATGGGGAGAGCACGAGGTGGCAATGTTGTAGCGAAACACTTTTGTCGTGCTTCAGTCTTATTTCTCACCCCCGTCATAACAACAAAAACTTCCACCCTCCCCCCAGCATTCTTCATCAGACCAAACGGTGCCTCGGCGCAGAGGCCGGTGAGCGTTCAGCCGTACCGCATCGCTCCCCGCGGCACGGGGCATCTGTAGAGTGAACTAACTGGTGATTAAATACGTGCCTGGCTTGGTTGGAGAATGAGTAAACGCACTCGGACAGTGATGAGCTCCAGTGCTCGCTGTTCATTAACTGTGTGGAGCTGTTGTTTCCAGTCGGAGTTAGCACTGGCACTGGGTTTGATTCCCGTGTGCGCTGGGACACGTACTGAGTTTTTGTAGGCTCAGCCTTTAGAACTGTCCTGCAGTCGCTTGGTCTGAGCCCCTGAGGGCTCCCCGCCTCGCCCCTGTTCATTAGGAGCAGTTGTTGCCTGAAGAGCAGAAGGCATAAGTTGTGTGTGTGTGTGTCTCGTCATACTCCTAAAATCTGTTTTGTTTTATTGAAAGTGATGGGGGTTTTTTTTCAGCATGCTTTTACATGAATTTATGATGTTGTTTTTTTCAGCTTCACTTGTCTCTGCTCCTTCCCTGAATTCTTGTGTCTTGGGTGGGTTGCACCTGAGAGGGCCTATAAGCCACTGCAGCCAGTGACCTAGAGCAGATACTTGTTTTTCTTAACTTGAATGACAGTAATGCAGGGTGTGAGGCTCCGCTGTCGGTCTGGCGGGGGAGTAGGGTTGGCAGGAGTAAGTTGTTTCAGCTACACAGGTAGTGAACAAAGCAGGTTGGGGGTGGACACCTTTATTCTCACCATAGTATCCGTAAGTAATCTCGGGGTTCAACAGAGCTCAGTGCCTCTGTTCTCGGTCTGGGCTTGGGGTTTAGTTTTTGAGGGGAGGGGAAGAAGGGGGAATGTTCCTCCTTTCTTTCTTTAAAAATATATGGTGTTTTAAATATGGATATTAGTAAAGCTTTTGGTACTTAGTTCTTCACTGTTAGATTTTGTGGTTTACAGAGCACTTAATCCAAAAATTGAACTCTGTGTAAAACTTTGAGATCTCTCTTAATTACTTTGAAAAAACAAATTGCAAAACAGTTTTCTGGCATGTTCCAGAAGCATCCATGTTTAACTCTTTCACTGCCACGGATCAGTATGAGCAGGCTTGACAGCTGCTACTAGCAGCTATCTCCAGGTCAGTGGGAAGATTGAAGGAAGTTCTGCATTACTTCTAATCAGTATAAATAACTTTCTCCCTGGGCTTGTTGATAGTGGACACAATTCCTGATTGGCCACTTAATCTTTAGATCTCTTTCCTCTTTTGGGCATCTCTCTTCCCCCCAACACCCCAGCCCCGCCTTGTGCTTTTTGTAAAGGTTCCTAGTGTTGAAATGTCTTTGCCTCCCTGTGTCTGGATTTCTGCACCCAGATAAATTAAAGATGTAAAAGATGCTTATATATAGAAATCACCAGTCCTGCACGTGTGTGCTTAGTGAAGGTCACAACCAAAAATCATGGATCTAGGTTCAGATATAGTTTTTTATCGACTTCCAGTGTTTTACTTGAGTTCCTGTTTGTGGTTTGACTCAATCCTAAAAAGCCCTAAAATCAAAGCGCCTAACAAACTGTGGAGGAATACTTGGAATAACTTGCACTGATGTTCTGGATGAGCTTGTTATAAAGGGAACATGATGGCAAAAAGACATCAGTCTGAGATCTTGAAATATTCCAGGTTTTTTTTGTGGTGGTGGTTGTTTTTTGTTTTGTTTTAAATCCTTTGTTATTGTTTAAAGATGCCTCTCATGTTAGTCTCTGCTTACAAGGACTAGAGTTTCACACCTTGTGAGCTGAGGTATTTAGAATCTTGATTCTTTTTGCTGGTAGATAATTGGAAATGGCTGACACTTCCATTTCAGAGGAGACTTTTTGCTTTGCACTTAGATTGCCAAAAGAATTTGGTTCAGTCAGATCTCTAGTGTATTTGCAGCTGTGAGATGGCTAGGCAATTCATTTGCTGCTTATACAGCAGTACAATTAACTGTACGTATGTGACTTTGAAAAGAAAAGCAAAGCCAAGTCTAGATATTGCAGAACACTGTGAGGTTGCTTTGGACATGGCTGAAGGAGAATTCTTGTCTCTAAAACTAAACCTGCAACCAGAAAGTACATGGTGAGTAGTCATATTTTGTGGAAAATGGGTGTTAGTTACAGATGGACACATCTGCTCCCCTGAAAATGGCCAAATATATTTTTCATGCTATTTAGCTGAGTAATTCTTGAAACTTTTATCCATTCTGTATTTACTCCCACCCCCAAATATTTGAGTATGAAAACTCTCTAGTATTGATTATTCATGGTAAGACTAGGAACCTTGCTGTAAGATGAAGGAACTTCTTTAAAATAGTGAGAAATACACACTAAGTTTATTCTTCCTGACTCTCACAGTTTTAAAATGTAAAATACCCTCATGAACAGGGGGAAAGTATTTCTTTCAATGTGACGTTTTAGATAACTTTACGTGATCTTTGTTCAGAATTGAATTTTCTGATGCCTCAGAACTTAAATTGTTATTGTAAGGTCGTCTGTAGTGTAATTAGGGCTAATTGGTTTGTGATTGACAGATGTCTTAAAATATAATTAAACATGTTAGAACACAAGTATAAGATAAATATGCAGCTGTTTCTTATCTGCATTATTAGTTTTATTGCAGAATACCTTGAGCAAATCATGAAACTTTTATTGCTGTTAGTGACATTGTTCAAAAACCTCAGAGTGTTTGGTTGATTGGGTTGGTTGTTTTCCTTTTTAAAATTTAAAATGGAAACTATTACATCTGAGACTTATGGAGGAAGAATGTATATTAACATAACAAGGTGTTAAGATTTAATATAGTTAGCAGTGACCACAACCCCTCTGACTTGGATCTGAGCATGCTGTGGCACTGAAGTTTGAAGTCTGTTGAATCTCTTGTGCTTAATTCTGTGTGTGTGTGCTTAGGAGTGAAACGTAGAGTTAAATACTGAAAGATGATTTCATGCTAACAAATATCTGGGGTGTAAGTATTTTTTTCTTCTCTAAGTGTATCTAATGTAGTATGTAATCTTGTAGATATTTCTACATAAACTGTATTTTCTTCTTGCAGTCAAAGCTGGAGGTATGAGAGTGTCTAAAAAGCAAGAAAGCGGACCTGTTGAGAAAAATGCTAAAGCTCCAGGAAAAGAAAAGACAAGGTATTGCACTGCAGAGCTTGTAGTTGAAGTTCATAGGTAGTGGGCTGAAGGCTGAAACAAAGGCAACTTTCAACCTCTGAAGAGTTTAGTTCTTAAATTAACTTGTACAGTTTATAGATAAAAGGCAACTTCGAGGTAATCATCGACTTAAAAAACTAACCAAAAACCCCCAACTTCGAAACCTAAGGACAGTGCCTTGCAATGAAAGACAAAGGCTGAATCTCTTTCTTCTCTGTCGTCATGTGTTATGGAACAAAAAGTAAATAATGTGGTGCCTGTCTGTACCTAATAAAGTAATGGTCAAGCAGTTTCCAGTGAAATAGGAATGAAAGCTAGGCTGTCCTCGTTCTGAAGGAAATTAAACCCACATCTCCCACCCCCCACAGGGTTATCTCCTGTGTATAGGCTGTATGCCTTATTTCAATCTGAAATCTAATTTGGCTTTTCTGTTTTCGACTTCATAAGGTTACTCAAGCTGTTTTGCCTCAAGCATGCTTCTGCTTTTAAATAAGGTAGTGACTGGGTGAAGTGGTCATCAAAACAAATATTTTCTTACAGCTTTTTCAAATGAAGACTATTTTTCCAAAATACATGCACTTTTCTTAAATATCACTTAACAAAAAGTTGACTGATACAGGGATAAGAGGGTAAAATTTTGATGACTTGTCACCACAAGTCATCAAAATTTTACAGAAACTGCGTTAGAGTCTAAATCCTAAGTGACAAACAGTGCCTAAATAGGATTTAGACACTCAGGTTTTTGCTTCTATTGCAATTTTAAACTTTCTCAGCAGCCTCCCAGTTTGGATGCTCCTTATCTCAGCACATACCTTCTATTTTGCACAAAAAGTTATCTTTAAGAGCTTGCAGTTCTTTCAGGGAGTATCTGGAACTGCATGGTTACTGCAGAGTACTGAGCACCCTTCGTAATTGCCGTGACATTCAGAAACCAGTCAGTGTGACACGGAGGTTGTGTTCCAAGGGCCTGATCAGTGATTTGCTGTTGGAACAAATCTGTTGTGTCCTGGTAGCTGTGACCTTGCTGTGCAGGGAGGTGGTGTACATCTCCTTCTCCATGTGATGATTAGGGTGTTTGTGTCACTTGCCTCCAGTGCTGAGCTAGAGGCTTCCTGTTGAGGTTTTGTAGAAAAAAAGACGCATAGAAAAAGACTTCATAGAAGAAGACTTGAGAATTGTGGTGGTAAGACAAAATGTAATGCTTAAAGTACTGTGCTCGGGGAGGTGTATTTAAAAACTTCGCTCAGCATTGTAACTTGTGCATTTAATAACTTTATCCCTTTGTCAGTGTTCAAAATAATGTGTAAGTTGAGACTGGAATTTGGAGATCCTTCCTAACAGGTGCTCCTGCACCTACTGTACACTTTTCTCTAGCCCTCTAACACATTAAAGTTTGGCTTCTCAGGGGCCCATCTCTAGAAGAGAGCACAGTCTGATCTTTTAGACTTGAGAGCAGGAGTTTTGTTCCCTTTAGAGTGTGGCAGCCTGGAATTCATTCTTCCCTTGGAAGCTGCTGAGCATTACTTTATTAGGTACACATAGGAAATAGAGATGTTGTTGCTTTAAAAGTGACTTTATCATTCATCTTGATATGAAAAAGCACATGTAAGCACTTGTATTGTTACCTGTAGGAGTGGGCTCTGATTTCTGTTCATATGCCTCTCCTGTAGTCCCAATTTGGGACTAGTTTTATGCATAAAACTAAACTGAAACAAAAGAAGATTAAATATTCTGTTGTATCTCTTGAGAACAGAACTCCCTTCAATCAGTCTTTGCACTGTCCTCATGATCGCTTGCTCTGGGCTTGCTGAAGAGGCCTGTCCAAATGGGGAGCAGCTCTAGAATCATGCCTTTATTAAAGCCTGTCTTGGACTTATCCTGAAGGCTGTGAATGACTCCTGCTGCTGCTGGGGATTTAGGGGTATCACTTATTTCTTACTTGTAAGAAGGGAGCCACCTGTGCTCTGGAGTGTCTGTAGTAGCCAGGTAACTATTTAAAAAGCCTGGTCTAAGGAGGATAGTTTAAGTAGTCTGGGTGACTTTGTTCTGATTCCCAATTTTTTTCCAGACTGAGACTTAAGTTCTCAGTGTTACTTTTGATAAACAAATTGACCTCTGGTGATTCTGAACACCTTTAGCAGCTGTCAGAAGGCTTCCTTAGTTGAATGTCTGGGTGTACGCTGCAGTCATTTTATCAGTGTGTCTGACAGGCACTACAAAGCACTGTAATCTAGTAATGTCGTTGTGAAATACATTATTTTGCCAGGAATTAAAGGGAGAGCTGTGACTAGACTGACAGCTGAATGCAGTTTTTGGACTAAGATGTAATTTTATTTTTTACCTCTCAACTGTTGTAATCAGCCAGGTAACTTTTAAATTAACTGGGCACAGCCGTACTTAACACTGACATACTGACGCTATTTCACGGCAGGCTACAGAAATCACCACCTCAGCTTTTTGCCTGCATGCTTTTCTCCTCACTGGCTTGGAGGATGCTAACCTCAAATACAAGTTTTGGACCAAAGCTGGGCCAGTAATGTAAACTTCTTTCCTGTTTACTAGTTCTCTGCACCAGAATCAGCCATTACTCATTATCGTGCCCCTACCTGACTGGGATGGCAGATTTCATTGTCAGGTTGCAATCACAGAAGTCACAGAGGACTTTGTAAAGTAGTTTAGTAGCTGTCATGTACAGACTCCTTGCCTCTAAGTTTCTGATTCAGATGAGCTTATCTGAGAGGCTCAAAGTCACTGTCGTAGCTTAAAGTGGCTACTCAGAGCCGAGGCTGGTCTTGGCAGGATCTGAGCTTTGAGATTTAGTTCTGAAAAAAACATGCTTGCTCTAAAGTTGCTGTGCAATACACGGGCTAATGGGATGTAATGCCTATGATGATAACTAGATGCCTGCCTGACAGCTTTCTGACAGTACGTTTGGCTGTACCTCATTACTGATTCAAAGCGTGGTGTGTTCTTGGGGTTTTGTGCGTTAATAACAGGGTGTGGTTTTGAGTCGTGTTTTTTCTGGAGTTGGAAGGTTTTTATTTTCACTGATTGCCAGTTGTCTGGGTGCAGTTTTGCTGCTGTCTTTTCCATAGTCACAATAATCTGATGGCATAGACAGATCTTGACTAACTTACATTTTGTCAGTGTGGCAAACTGTATTGATTGCTACATGGACATTCTGGTAGGAAATGTGTCTTGGCTGATCCACAGAATCATTAAATTAACTAAAGCAGTATCTGCTGTTTCAAGAGTCAGATTTAAGGTGCCTGGTTCCATGTGTAGAGGTAATAATTATTTTTCTCAACTCCATTTTAAGCTAGGGTGTCACTGCAAATAATGGTATCAGAGAATGTGCAATCCATAGTTCTTCCTGTTGCTGAACTAAATTATTTCATATCCATAGATTATTTGTGGAATATTGGTAACATGGCTGTTCTTTGTTGGAATATGAAGAAGTTAATGGGATAATCTTGTGCAAAATGTTCTTGCTTGAGAAATTGCTGCTGTCAAAGCAAACACTCCTGAAAAGCAGAGGGTGATTTTTTTTTTTTTTTTTTTTTTTTAATGGGTCTAGATTGGAATCAAGAAAATTGTGAAGTAAAATTTTGTAGTTCTGGATATTGGTGCTCAGCTTCCATGAAGCTACTTGATAGTGTAAAAAAAAAACCCAACCCTTTTGAGATATTTAAGAATATTTTATAGAAAGAGTTTTGTTTATCGAAATAAAACAGCCTGCAACACAGAATTTGCATTGTTCTATTCTGAGGCAGCATATGTTTTTTTTTAATAGCATACAGCCTTTAATGTGATTAAAGGATTTAGCTCCAAAACCTAAATTTCTATTGCAAAATGTTTTGTATTGAGTCTGGTAAACGAAAGTGACAAGTGTTTCTGTGAGATGGAAATGTTGAATACTTTTTTCTTTTGCTTTACAGTGCTGTTGCTGGTTTTTCAAAAACTCAGAACACGGGTGTCTTGCTAGCACAAGTGTTGAGCAAAGTAAGTACATCTGGAAGAACAAGATACGTGTTTGTCAGGGCTTCTCCATAAAACTGAACATGAAAAAGAGGGGAATTTTCCTTACAAATGCCAGGTGACAGCAATTTAGGTTGGTCATCTAAATATCCTCAAGATGATGTATTTTTCTAGCGGTTGTGTGGCTGAAGTGCCAGGTGACTAAAAACTAACTCGCCTTTTCTCTGCTGTGTTTGATTCCAGTCCTATTTAACACTAAGCAGCCCCAGGGTAGTTATGTATACCTGTTACAGAAAAGTGCTGCAAGATAGTAAAGTGTGTCCTCTTAAAGAGGTATGTTGATTTAGGGTTGCTGGAATGGGGGCAGTTCTCAGGGACACGGTGATTTTGTGGAGAGCTGGGATCACAGCTCAGGACAGAGCCCAGCCTTCAGTTCTTCACCTGCCTGTGGAAACCTCCTTCCCTGCTGACAGGGCACAGCCTGGGGGAGCTGCCTGGGGCAGGCGGGTGGTGTCGCTGACAGGTGTGTGCTGGCTGGGGGGCCCTGCGGTAATGCCAGATGCCTGTGAGCCCCCATCCAGGCAATGGGCACAGCGTCTCCTGCTGTTGCCCAGCCGTTTCACCTGAGGCCTGGCGTCAGTCAGTCAGGCATCTTCTTGACTTCTCCCTTGGAAATACTACAAGATCGTTTAAAATCTTGTGTTGCAAAGCTCTTGATGGACCCTTCTGGTCATCGTGGTGCTACTGGTTACTAGTTACCGTTACAGCCACTGTCCAGTATCTCTTCTGGGCTGTGGCTGCAGACTCTTAACACCTGTGCTTTGCAAGAGCTGATTGAACAGGCAGCTGGTTAATTGGCCTGCTAAGCTGAAGACCTGACAGTTACCATCTATTTTTCCTACACTTGCAGTCCTTAGGTTCTGCAGCATACAGGAGTTCCTCATCCACAGAGCTTGGTAAAACATCAGCTGCAGCATTTCGGCATAAGCCACCGTTCATCAGCAGATGTGATTGTGGCTTTAGTATTAGATCTTCAACTTTTGCTTATGCTTGTTTAAGGAGAGCAGATACAACTCGTCCTCTTTCTCTTCCACTTGTCCCCATCTCCTCTGTTCTAGCCTACTATTTCCTTTTCCTGTTGGTTTCCAAACTCTCGCGCATGAAGCTTCCTCAGTAATTTAGAGAGCGATAATTAGATACTGTAATGATGATGATTTGAATCTGGGAAAATAAGAATTTGAAGCAACTAACTGTTAACTCTGGCATACTGATTATTTGCTCTGCTTTCCTCATCTTGACAATTCATTTGATGAACTACTAAAAAAGGGGAGAAAAAAAAAATCGAGAGTTCACTGAAGTTAGTCAGGCTAACGTCACTTTGAAAACAAAAATGATAATTAAATGTACAGGATCACCACGAGTGTTGTGTGTTGATTATTTGAACTTTTGTGAAGTTAGGTTTTACTACTGTTTTTAAACTACTTTCATAGGATGGAATTTAGGAAGAGAACAGCAGAAAAGCTGTATTTATTGCAACTTTCCCCCCCTTTAATGTTACAGATGAGCCACAAAATTCATGCAGCAGCATTGCAAGTGGCTCATGAAAAGCCACAGCCTGCCTTGGAGAAGTTCATACTGCCTAAAAGAATTTACATTATTCAACAGCCACGGAAGTGTTAAAGATACTCTTTAAAATCCTCATGTTTGCTTAAAAGTTGAGTTTCTGTTCTAAATAGCACTTAGCACCCTGTGGTAAAATGATCAAAACCTGTGTGCCTTGTATTCTACTGTATTTCTGTTACTGACAATAAAATTCTTTACAAGAAAAGTTACTGAATGTACTCGGGATTTATTAAAATGTCACAGCTTCTGCTAACCTGGTTTTACTTGTGTACAGTAAGTCAATGCTAAGAAGCCTGCAGCTTCACTCCTGTCTGAATTTGGACTGAAGTACTGGAAACTGTCAGCTCTCTTTTCTTTTTTTTTTAATTTAATGATAGCAAAGCTGAAGTGAATGTGATGTTAACAAAGCAGGTCACAACTGAAAGGCATAGTTTTTGTTTGAATTTAGGCTGAGGTGTTCCATGCTGAATGTATGCCTTAGGCTTACTGCATAATGAGAAACTTCAGCAAGTCCTGGGAAAGATTTCCATGCACTGGGAAAAATTTTTTTCTTGCTTTTGTCTCCGTAAGGAAATCTTATCTCCTCTGCAGAGATGCCTCTCCTGGGCTCCCACGAGCAGGAGGAGCTGAGCAGCAGCAGTCTGTGTGTGAACCCCCAGGGCTGGGGAGGCTGAGCGAAGGAGGTGCCTGAGCTGGAGCTGCACCTGGGTCTGGGGGAGCGAAGGAGGTGCCTGAGCTGGATGTGCCCCGGGGCTGCAGGCGGGAAGGTGAGAGGCTGCAGGGCTGCGAGTACGGGGTTGAAGTTGGTAGAACACGATATGAGGCTCGGAAGTGATGAGACAGAGCAGGAACTGCGAGGAGTAGAGTCCTGAGGGGCCAGGCTTAGTAATGGGCAGGAGCAGTTGTAAATACAGATACAGGAGGTGTCCCTGAGCTTTGCTTATGCTGTCAGCAAAAGGCGACAGCTGGGCTTCCTGCCCTGAGCTGAATCCTGCTGGGATAGGTGTTGAGGTAGTGATTGCAGAGGAGTGTGCTGCTAAAATTGTAGTGAAGAAGTCCAAATGGACTTAATAGGAAAGGTGTTGCTCAAAAATGTTTGTGTTGTCAATGAGGCTTCCTTTCATAGTGTGCTTTCCTCATGGCCATGGGGCCAACCTAGTGCAGATGTAGGAAACACACTCTGTCGAGAGGGATCACGGGTGGGCTACCCAGAATGAGTGTCACCACTTCACAGGAATGTCTGCTTCATCTCATCCATCCATCGTGTAAATAATTGTCTATGTTGATTAAAGATTAAACCATGATCGCAGGAGGTGGTGATTAGTGGTATGTGCAGTAAATAATTTGGTTACACCTTGGATAAGTAGGAAGAATTAAAATAGTGCTGCTCCTATGAAGAAGACTGGCTCTTCTCCCGTGTTCCGTAACTGACTGGTAGTTACTTGTATAATATTGTCACTGTTTCCCTGGACAACAGCAGCAATATACTTTATGGATATTTAAGTTGTAGGTACGGCATTTGGAAAGGATTAGACTGCCCTGCCGTTGGCTCCTGACTTGGTTTTGCAGCTTGGGGTGCTTTGGTTTGGTTTTCTAAGTGAATGTTGTTTAAACAGATTAGAGTAGCATGTTCAGGGTAGGGAAGGCATGCTCAGTGTGGAAGGTGGCTGTGGGGAGTGACTTGTGACATAACTCGGTGCCGTATGCTCCTGTGGGCGTGACTGTCCTGTTGAGGAGGCCCCGCACACTCCTCGGGGCTGCATCCTGAGCCCGTTCTGTGCTGTGGATGAAATAAGTTTCTCCAGTAAGTCGAGTTCTGGGGTTACATAGTGTCTGTAGGCTCTGGGGGATAGAGTATCGGTGTAGCGTTAGCAGCACAGGCTCAGCACACGCTTCCGAGGGGCCTCTGAGAAGCACCAGCCCTGGCCAGGTGAACCCACATGTGCTGCGGCAGTACTGGGGCCTGTGCGTGTCCAGAGCGTGTTGGGGCACGGCTCAGCAGATGCAAACGGCCGAGCAGAAATGGAGACGCTCTTCTATGTCCTACCTGTGTACAGTTTTCAGGTGTCAAAAGAGGACTTGCCAAGGTGTCAGGAGGTCTGATTTTGATAAACTCAGTTTCATGGTTTGACTAAATGTAAAACAGATGCAAGCAATCCTGGCAGCTGATCTAGTGCACATCCTGCCTCTAGGTTGTCCCCTGTGGTGGTGGTACAAGGAGCCTTCTTGCTTGCATTTTGTGTCAATGGCCCTTCCTAGTCTTTGGAGGGAATCTGAATTTGCATAGAGAACTAAACTCTTCTGCTTCAATATATTTTGTAATTAACAGCACTCCCTTTTCAAACAAGTCAGCCTCTTACCTGCTGTATTTTGACAGGTGTACTGTCAGATGCATTATTTTCTCTAATTTATTTCTATTTATTAAGGTGTCCTGCTTACAATAGTACTCCTAGACAGGAGCTTGACAGGAAACTAAAACCATATTTTGAACTTCTAAATAATAGACACCTTAGTTGGTGTTGGTGTGACGCCTGTTGGTGTGTGTCATTTTAGTTTGTGTTTGCACCATCATCGATGACACTGTGATGAATTAGTTGTGTCTTCTATTCTGGGGAGTTTGTTTCATCTAGTTCAAGTCTTAATTTAGTACTTTGCTTTCATTATTTAAATACGGACAGCTAAATTCAGAACATAAGGAACAACTACAGCTGACTTGTTAGAACAATCAAAACCTTGCAGGAAGCCTATTCTCAGGCTTCTTGAAGGTTATTACAGATGATGCAGCCATTCAACAAGAATGGCATGATTTCTGGAGGTTATTTCTTCTGTCACTCTTTATTTCATCATTAGTATACCATTGTTTCTGTGTGTAGACTCAAAATGCCTTACAGCGATGAGAATGACTGATTTCAGTAAAGGATGATGGGTTCAACAGGTGGTTGAACTCAGGAATGCCCCGTTCTGTCTGACTGCCCCAGTCACACAGACAGGTTTTGCTGGGCGCTGCGGGGATGAGCTTCCTCTGGGTGAGGAAGAGTCTCTGCCTCGAAGCACGTGAGGCTGCGGGTTGGGCTGGCGCGGCAGGTCTCAGAGCTGGATGCTGTGAGCTCGGGGCTCTGGAAGGAGCCATGGGGGCTGCTCTTAGGGACAGGCAGCGCTGGGCGCGAGGCGGTGATTGCCGACTCCTGCACGGGGCAGCCGCAGATGAAACAGCAAAGAGATTGCACAGGGCAAATCTGGGAACTCAAAACGTTTAATTCATAAATATTAACCGTTGTTTAAAGCCTCTATCCCTCCCACGATGTACTTGTTCGGCCTGTTCCTCTCCAAGTAGTACACACAGTCTGCAGATCATTTCAAGCACAGTAACATCTCCCTGGTGTGCAAAACCCCGGAGCTCTGGTGACATACACACATAAGCCCAAGCGTCTCCTGAGCTCATCTTTAGTTTTGGTGGTAGAGGAGTATATTTCTAGAATGTAAAAAGATTCCTTGGTCGAACCAGTGTCATCTGTGATTGCAGCTGTTGTGCCTGACCCCCCCTTAGGGGTTCCCCGTGGAGCACCTCTGTTCTGGCAGCCTCGCTGTCCTGCGGAGCAGCCCTTTGGCGTGCCGCCAATCCTCCTCTTCCTCCCCTGCATCTTCTAGACTGTCCTCTTGCAGCTGCCCAGGAGGAGGAGTGTGCACGATGCGCTTTGGGCCTTTTGTAAGTTAAATCTTTCTGAAGAGGGTCGGCGTCACAGGCCCGGCAGAGGCAGCTCCCAGGGTTGGATTTGTTCCACCTTCCAGGTCTGTCGCACTGTCTGGCCGTTGCTCGTCCTCGCCGCTGCCAGCGAGGGGCGGCTGCTGCTGGGCCACCCTCTGCGGAGCAGGCTGTCGGACAGGGCACATACCCCACTTCTTTCAGTCCTGCCCGGCGACTGTCAGCTCCAGAGGTGCTTTGACTTCCCAGGTGAAGCCAGTCACGATCTTCTCTTTATTCTGCAAAGCCATGCAGAAAACAGTGACTCAACACAACAGCATGTTTATTGCTTTTGCCAGACCCGGCCACAGATTCTACTCCTGGCCATTATTCCACTCCTGCTGGACTTTAATGAGAAACTTCCAGATAATTTTATTAACGGAAATTTCAGTCTGGCACTTCACTAACAGCAAGCTACCAACATTAATTTCTTTCTTCAACTGAAGGGGACTGTTACTGTTCTGAAGTCTGACTATGGCTGATTTTCCAGCTAAGGGGGACTCTCCAACTACCAGAGTTTCCAACTCCCCAGTTGTTTGATAACACTTAAGATTTTATAGAGGTTTATGACTCATACCGAGAGCAGCTTGAGAAATGTCGATAGCTCATAATGATGTGCTCAGTGCTTTTGCCACAAGGGGCTGCTGCGCGCCTGCGGCTCCCTCGGTTGCTGCCCCCGAGCTCGCCTCGGAAAACACCCTTCTTACAAGGAAGTACGTTTTAATCAGCTGGAAAAGTTTCAAAGAAAGAAAGAAGAGATTAGTTTATGAAAGCATCATTTGGATTTTCACGCGGGACATGAATCCCTAGAAGCTGTAAAGATCCAAAGGGTTAACTTGACGGTAACAAAAAGTGGAATCCCTTACCCTTCCTGTGTGCCCTGGGTGCTGAGCCCGAGCGGCTGCACATGGAACCTGGGACAAGGGCAAGGCGAGGCACATGCTCCACTGCTGCCGGGGGAATTGGCACAGTTAAGGTTTACTGGTTTCATAGGTGCTTTTTCTAAATGTGGTCACTTCAGAACAAATTTGTTGCTTCACGAACCAAATGACACTGAAAAGTGGTACACAGCCTTTCATATCCCACAGTTAGGTAGGTAGGAAGGGGTGACATTTCTGAGACTGACTTCATTTATACACACAACTTTTGTATTTCAGGTTTACTTCTGGTGGTAAATTCAGAAGTTACTTTTATATAAAGGAATGATTAAGACTTTTCCAAAGCTATTATAAAAAATATTTTATATAATAGCCATCATTTTAGTTGCACAATATGCATTTACTGTATACTGAAATAGAACAGTCACTAAAATGAAGATTGATTTCAAAATTTAAATCCAACCTTCCATTTTCATTGTTCATAACTTTCTTAAATTCTTTCTAGTTTAAATTTTCCATATTTGGTATGTTTTTTCAAACTCTGAGCTATCTAAGCTGCACAAGCCTGAAATATTTGTTACTTATATGTTACTACCAAGAAACTTCAAAAACAATGATAAGCGTGATTATCTCTTAAAAAAACAGCTGTAATTGAAAATTTTTAACTTGGTTTATCCTTTGAATCTCAGCCTTAATAAGTAAAACAAGTCAAAAAGCCAGCTGTAGGATGAGGTGATTTTGTTGGAGCTGCTCACAGGTGCCACCCAGACGGGCAGGTATGGAATTGCCTGTCTGCAGTGCATGTGTGTTTGAACTCCTCTGTACAAGAGTCGTCTGAGGCTTCTAAAGACAGAACTTTAAAATCAGTTACAAAGAGCCCTCCAATTATGTTGAAAACTAGCTGCTAGTTCTTTAGTCGGAGCCTAAAGCTGGCCTTGCTACTTTGAATTGTCATGAATAAAAAGAAAAAAATGGGAGAGGAGAGGGCGGCAGAATGTCCCCAAGCTCTGCAGACCTTGGCTGTAAGGAATTTAGGAATTTGGCTGGCAAAATTGGATATACTGCAGCAGCTGCTGTTTTAAACACAGATACTGTTCTAAACTGGGAAGCTCGCACTTCACAAATTGAGGAACCTTAAGTCTGAAGCTAGTAGGGGTGGACTCAGAATTATTATTTTTATTTTTAATCAACCCTAATTTTCCTTTCAAAAGGTGACCAAGGACTAGTGGCCTCTGGTATGTTCCCCAGCTCCCGTACAACCTTTCAGTAGCCTGGTGTATGCACTGTGCCTTCAGACGCTGCCTGTGAGGCACGAAGCCACCTGCTTTCATGCCTCACTGATTAAAAACCAGTTCTCATTTTAAAGAACAGTCCCTAATATTTGTTACAAAACCATGAAAGAACACTGTTTTCACTGTGTTTTGGTTCCAGCTTGGTGGGGCAAAAAAATCCCTCTTCCTGAGAAGGAGCTCAGTGGTACTGACAGTTCCAGCAGCGCGCTTACAGCGCTGAACTGGCATCACCAAGGAGCTCCGGGAGGTCTCTTCTGAGGCAGTACTTCTCGAGGGAATCCTCAGAAACAAATTAGTACTGTCTGTTGGACCTACTGCTGTGGAAGTATGAAGAAAGAGTAGACTCATGAAGTAGCACAAATGACCCGCCATATGCACAGCTCTTCTGGCTCCCACGATGGTTTTCACCAGATGGATGTTTCTAGTGCTTCCAGCTTTTCAGGACATTAATTGGTTATTGTTTTAAATTTTTTTTTGTTACTTCCTAGGGATTGCCAAAATATAGGGTGTTATAAGGCATTATGTCCTAAAAATCAAAATCTTTTTTTCCATTGAAACTACTGCATTCAGGATTTTCCACATAAAGATTCATTTCCAGACAAATGCTGTCAGTAGTTCTTCGAAATAAAGCATGTGTGTCCCTTACCCTACGATTTGACCATAGGTTGGAGCACATAATTCATATACAATAAGATTCTCCGTGAGTTGAAAACTTTTTTCTGTTTTCTGAAGTGCATTTTCTGAACTCTTGCTCTATGCTAAATAAATAAGGTAAAAGGTAAAAAGGTAAAAAAAAAAAAAAGCAAATAATAAAAAAAGACTAAAAAACCCCAAACAAACTCAAACCTTGCCCTTTGCATCATTTATATTTATATTAGCTATTTTGGTACAGGGAAGGAAATGGAGGGAGCCTAAAGGGCAAAGAAGAAATTCCACCTTGTCTCAGACTAGTCTCTAGGACATGGTACTGGTGTCTTCTTCCTGCTACCACCTTTTGCAGCAATTTTGCTTCCACCATTATATTCTGTCATCATACTGTATTTTTTTTCTTCAGATGACTCTATAAAGAAATGGGAATGTGTGCGTGTCAGTAGATCATAGATGAATTGTCACAGAAGGAGCAGAGAGACAGGAAAATCTAAGGAGATAAAGTCATTGGACCCAATTCTTCTTTCAGATAAGTGTATATAGTTTTCACTTGTTAAGTGATTTATATATGTATTTTATATATAGGTATAAAAACTTAATTTTAGCACACACAATCCATAAGCAGTCCATGTGTATCATGTAAAAGATTGCCTAGTTCAGACCTTTAAATGTTTCAGATCATTAGTTCTAATTCCTGGCATCTATGTATTTCTGTGCATAGGCAAGGAGTAACTGCTCACTCATTTCAGTACCTGCCTTCAGAGCTGTGTACGTTAGATAAGGGCTACAGGAGAAGTTCCGAATGCACAAGGGTTCTCATAAGTGTAGGGATTTGTCCTGTGGCTTCTTGGATTTCAAGCAGGAGGATACATAAAGTGCATTCAAATTTCTGCCCTACACTTTTCACTGAATTCTATTGCTTTTTGTTGTTGCTGTTTCCTGTAATCCAAGTAATTTTTTTAATACTCAGTCTGTTATGTTCCCTTAAAAGATTCCCTGATATTAGTTCTGTTACTGAAAGTGTTACAGAATGTCTTACAAATATGATTTTCCTAATTAGTAGCCCATACTAATATTTCAAATATCACTGGCTCCCTAGGAGTTCAGAGGTGTGACCGTGCTGTAGAACACCTGTAGAAGCAAGGCTACAGTCCAAATTCTGCTTGTTCTTAATGTACAAGACCTGCTTTTGGCATCAATCTTAATTACCTCGGCATTAATCTTAATTACCTGCTACCATTGTTGGGACCTGCAGTACACTGTTCAGCTTTTCTGTTTCTCCTGTAATTCCCTCTCTCAGTTCCCCTGGCTGTGGATTACTGCCATAAAGACACATCTTGGAGAGAGGTAGCCTGGGTGGTGTTCCTTATGCTGCCTGTATGCAGCTGGCTGCCTTCTGAGCAGTGCCCCTGTATGTGTTTATGGATCATTACACCTGCACAGATTGAATAACAACATTGCTTATTCCAGACAAAGTTTACTACTCATCTCTTGCTGTTTTTCTGATTCACTGGAGCAGCAGAATAGACACAATCTCCCACAAAGCCTCCAAGAAATCATGCAAAAGTTAAGGAATTAATGCTTATCTGCACATGAAGTAGAAACTAGTTGGGTAACTTAGATCTACTCTTGCAATGCTTTACCAGTTAAAATCACTTCAGCCTTCTCTGTTCATTGCCAGTCCAGCTTCTGTAGAGAGGAAGGAGATGTGCTACATACCTTTTTCTTCCTTTTCTAAGCAGCATTTGGTTTTGTGTAATGAAAGCTATGTGGATTCTGGCTAAAAAGTCAAACAGAAGATCATTCTGCTGTAAGTATATATTCATAGAATAAGTCCCTGCCCCTTTCGCTGTGATGTTAGAACAGCAGTTCCTCTGATGAGTGAGTGATAAGGCTCATCTGCCGTCCTACCTCCTTGCCCCTCTCAGAAGGGTGCTCCTGACAGACAGGCGAGGAAGCAGCACATGCTAATGCCGAGTTCTCCGGGCTGGTGTCTGCAAGACCAGACCATACACAGAGGTCAGTTTCTGATTTTTTTTTTTTTTTTTTGAAGTATGTAATGGAAGGAGTTGGGAGTAGGTAGACAGAATGGCAACAAAGCATAGGGAAGGACAATAATTGAAATTGAGCTGGAAAACGGGACAGAAAAGAGCATGGGGAACAAATTATTAATGGAAGCACTTGCAATAAATGTAGTGGCACTTGGAATATTTTAGTTGATAGCACTGATTATTATTTTTTACCATTTATCCTATTAACACTTTTACAAAGTAGCATTTACATCCATGGGAGCTGTTGACAAACAAGTATCATGAGAAATTAAACATCACAGATCGGTAAGTTCTGATGCGTCATCAGTGAAATTACTGAGGCTCTGTCTAGAATCTGCTGTGGACAGCAACAGCAAGACCTAAGCTGGTGCATGTAGTGACCATAAGGTGGTCTGACACAGGTGGTGGTTGTTACTTGCTATTAAGCTTCCCTTTTGTTTTGGGCTGTGGAGCCATGTGACCAACTTCTGGCTGGTTTCATAGGGAAAATGGGCCTATATGAACACCTGTGTGCACAGCTACTGGTTCCTTTCCCTGAATTAACTGTGTAATACTTCAGTGAAGCGGTATCAGTTGAGAACAGGTTGCCCCGATGAGACTGGCTCCTGCTGTCCTGCTGCACAGAGGTGGCTTCGCAGAAAGCAGCCCGAGACGTCAGCCAGCTGCTGGACAGGCACTGTGAGTGCTGCTTCTGCAGACAAAACGAGAGCAGACCTCCGGTGTGCATCTGCAACCCAACGGTCACAAAGCTACTGAGTGTAAGGGGTGTTGATTCTACTAGTTACCAATGAGATGGCTTTTTTTAAATCAGTAAATTGAGAATTTTCTACCAAATGATTATTTTGCATGAGAATGAATCTGACAGGATAAAAGCAGCTGTGTTGAAAGAAAGCTCCTAAAATTTACAAAATCATCTTCTTTGAAAGAGCCCTCCAAAACCAAGAAATTAAATAGGTTAAGATGAGAAGCCCAAGCTAACATAAACAACACTGAAGCTGAGCAGAAAAAATGAATTCTGATTTTCTTATTTCCCCAGTCCTCAGCATTACAGTGAATGCTGCTGTCATTGTAGTTCAGCTTGGTCTAAGGTTCCTGTTTAAAAAAAAAAAAACAAAAACGGGCTTTAAAACTACTAGAAGCTTATATCATAACTGTGAGACTCTGAGGACAGCCATAACCTTTGTGAGAAGAAAAAGAAGAGCTGAAGAATTTCAGTGGCTGGGAATGGAGAAATCATCTGAACAAATGAGTGGAAGGAGCAGAGGGCAGAACAGTTAAAGTAGAAAACCAGCTGTTGGCTAAATTCATCCTAAAAGGAAGCTACTGATGAGAGCAGAAATAGTTATGTTGCTGGTATTATAGAATCCCAGACTGGTTTGGGTGGAAGGGACCTCAGAGCCCATGCAGTGCCACCCCCTGCCCCGGGCAGGGCCACCTTCCGCCAGCCCAGGTTGCCCAAAGCCCCGTCCAACCTGGCCTTGAGCCCTTCCAGGGAGGGGGCAGCCACAGCTTCTCTGGGCAGCCTGTGCCAGGGCCTCACCCCCCTCACAGGGGAGAATTTCTGCCTTAGATCTCATCTAAATCTCCCTCTGTCAGTTTAACCCTGTTCCCCCTTGTCCTATCCCTCCCCCTGATGACGAGTTGTCCCCCCCCCTTTCCCACAGCCCCTTTCAGCCCTGGGGGGCCGCTCTAAGGTCTCCCCGGAGCCTTCTCTTCTCCAGCTGAACCCCCCAACTCTCTCAGCCTGTCCTCACAGGGGGGCTCCAGCCCCCCCAGTATCTACGTGGCCTCCTCTGGCCCCGCTCCAGCAGGTCTGTGTCCTTCTGCTGTTGGTGCCCCAGAGCTGGACCCAGCCCTGCAGGGGGGTCTCCCAGAGCGGAGCAGAGGGGAGAATCCCCCCCTCGCCCTGTGCCCACACTGCTCTGTCTCTTATGACAAAATCATAAAAGGCTGCCAGAACCAAGACATTTCCTCCAAGAGAGAAAATTCCTTTCTTTCCAGACATGCCTCATCACATAGGCAAAATGGAGGGAAGAGAAAGTGGTGAAGAGGATTCTTCACTGGGAGAAAGAAAAGCTGCTGGCTGAGTCGCATACAGAACCCGACCCTTGTTTTGGGACAAGCCATCAGGTACCAAGGTGCTGAAGTCACAATGAAGGAAGTGTAAAATAACGAATTGCTCCGCTGCTGTAACCCTGAGAGGCTTTGTCTCCATGTGCTCTGCTCCTCTGACACCACACAAGGCAATCGGGGCACGTCCTTGAGAGGATGCTGCTCCTGCACACAAGCCTGTAACTCGTTTCTGAGCAGATAAATGGATTCTCTTGTACCCTGAGCAGACACACTGGAAGATGCTCTGTGAAATACAACCAGAGCATAGATGTTCTAGAACACTCTGGCATTATTTTGCAGTTAAATTCAGGTTTAGTTTTTCACAATTAATTAGCTATGAAACTCTTACATTATTTATATTGGATTGTCCCTACATTTTCTTTTTTTTTTTTTTATGTGAGGAGGATTCATTTTTTAATTAATTACATGTAACTATTGTAGAAGTTACATGTAGGGAAGCTGAGCACATATGTGGGGAATAGCTGGAGCATTGGACATCTGGGGTGGAAAAGGCAAGCAGTTTGAGGTTGGGAGAGAAAAATCATCAGGTGAATATTTCTGCTAACATCATAATGATGGCATTGAAACCATCACTGCTAAAACCATGTCTCAATTACTCAAAAACTAACCACTTTAACACTAAACCCATTAATGTGAGCCAGTTATCTAAATATTTAAAAAACCAGCTAGAGATAATGCTCTGTAGTGGCTACTTTGATGCAGCCCATCGGGGTTACTGTGCGTAGGCATCAGGTGTGCTACAGGAACCGTGTCAGTACCTCATTTTCTTTGTCCTAAGCCGTCTTTTGAGCCGTCTTTTTGGGGGACTAAGTATTTTGAAGCCCTTACTGCTAGGCATCCTTTTCAGCCTTCCGATCATTTCTGTGGTTCTCTTCTGCACCCTGATTTTTCAGGATCTTGGAGGACACGAGTAGAGGGCCTGGACACGGTGTCCCAGGGCCGGTTTTCCCCGAGCTGCTTCGCGCAGCAATGCCACCTCTGCCCGTGCTCGCTGATCCCGCTTGTGCAGGCACGGGGCGCAGCACCGTTACAGCCCGGGCCCTCGCAGGGGTGCCGCTTTCCGGGACGGAGCGGGGCCGTTCCCCAAGGAGCCATTCCCAGCCTGGCTGTCGGAACTGCCCCGCCCGGCCCAGTCCGGCAGGTACTTTGGATCCCTCCGAGGGATCTTCTGCCATTGTTATTTCTGTTCCGCTCATCGGTTTGTCCTTGGCGGGTCTTAGGAGCAACAACGTAATTATTTTCGAGTGACCGATAAAAAAGGCTGAATCGCTGGCGGGGCGGTGCGA